GATATTTAATAAAGTTACAGGGCCGGGCGTGGGGGCACACGCCTGTAATCCCAGCACTCGGGAGGCTGAGGCAGGAGGATTGTTGCAAGTTCGAGACCAGCCTGGGCTACAAAGTGAGCTCAAGGCCAGCCTGAACTACATAGCGAGCCCCTGTCTCAAAAAGACAAAAAAACAAAAACAAAAACAAGAAAATTATACTTTATCAGTATTGTATAATGATTGTGTAATTGTACAAGTATATCCTTGTTATTACACAGAATTTATTTATACATATGTCAATGTACTATATAAAATTTAGAATGTAGAAAAGGTTATTATACTATTAAATCTATTACTTAGAATTTATGATGTCAGTAAATACCATTTATGTCATAGAATTTTATTATATCACAGAATTCCATTATATAGAATATTGTGGTATCATTTATCACTAAATATTATATCATGCAATGCAGTTACACTATAGAATGAACACATACATAGAATACTAGAATATCATTATACCGTGTATTTTCAGTACTGTGGATTTGTATTACTTCAAATTTATGTCTGCTATGTCAGCATATATCATTTATATTATGGAATTTCACTATTTCATGGAATTCTATCACATAGAATACTGTAACGTCATTATTTTATACATCACCAAAAATTATATAATGAAGTTTATACTGTAGAATGAACTCATATATGACATTAGGGGCTGGGGATTTAGCTCAGCGGCAAAAGCGCCTGCCTGGCAAGCGCAAGGTCGTGAGTTTGGTTTCCAGTACCGGAGGGGGGAAAAAAAAAAAATCATATATGACATTAGAACATCATTATATTATATATTGTATTTTACTAGACTAGTGAATTGTGTTATTTAGATTTCACACTTACTATGTCAGTATATATCATTTATATTATCAAATTTCATTGTATCATAGAATTTTATCATTTAGAACAGTGTAATATCGTTATGTTATATGTCATTTAAATTTTTTTGGTCTTTTTTGAGACAGGATCTTGCTATCATTTAAATGCATATTACTTTTTTTTTTCTTAAATGCATATTATGAAATTTCAATAAAGTACAGAATTCTGTCATATAGAGAGCATTGCACTATTAGGGTCCATCTCGATTATGATTTTGTATGGAGATGTAGTATGCTGCCGAATTCTATCAGACACGCATTAGAATCGCATTATTTTGTGCATACAGCATACTAAAGACGTTTTATGTATCAGGTCTTATCATGTCATATTACCATACTATAGGATCTACTGTATATAGCGTTAGCATAATACTATTATATGCATTTATTGTATTGTACCAGCTGTAACTATGGGATTTTCCTGTACGGCATTCTCTTGTAAGTAGAGCATTAGCGTGACGTTATGTTATGTA